CAAGCAGCCGTGAAGTTTCACGAGTAGCCGCGGCGGCAGAAATGGCGGGGTTGCGATCGCCATTATTTCGGTTCTCGAGTACGGATCGGTGCCACTTTTTCAGAGCAGGATCTATGGCAGTTTCCCAAGTGAGTTGTTCTAGTAACGTTGGCTTCAGCATAGAGGCTCGACACAGGGGATGTACGGAACGCACCGGTGGCAAGTCGTATCCCCATGTGATGGATTGTATCCCATATTTTCAGTGTTGATGCACTCGCTGATCCATACACCAAACATCCCTAACTTAGGCGTTACCGTGAGATGGACCCGTAGATTGTTAGCGGGCACAAAGGGCCGGAACCCTAAGTCATGTAGGAGAAAATTGTATGAATATTAAGGGATTTATGGCATTTTAGTTTTAACGTTTTGATACGGTGGCTGAGAGCAGTGTTGGACAAAATACTCGATAAAAGTATTTAAGTTAAGTTACTAAATACCCGCGTCATAAAGTATTTAAAATACTACTCAAGTTACTTTCACTGCAAAGTATCTTGAGTAGAGTACAAATACTTAGAAATGTTTTTCAGTTACTTTTGAAGATACTTCCGCATTTCTTAATTTGTATCGACGTCACTGACAACGACAATTATACAGCTACGCAAATATGGGTTACCAGAATGGTTTATTAGCACGCAACAACACAAAACGGAAAAAAAAAGAAAAGTATGGTAGGGCTATTTAATGCAGTCCGACTATAAAGAGCAAAATATTGTCACGAATGGTAAATGATGAGGCGGCGAATAACTGAAGAAACTAAACGTTTAATGGGGCGAACTTGTTCCTAAAACAAAAGAGAGAAAGGCTAGCGTCGCAGGCGTCGTTGTCGGCGTAACAGCAGGATCGACCGCTGGGGCGAGACTGACTCCGGACCGCCACTCGGAGCACCTTTTGTACCCGCGTGTGTTTCTGGAACACTCGGCGAAGAAAGTTCGGCGCGTAGACATTCGTAACTCGATCAGACGACAAAATTCTCGAACTTACCGGTACGTCAAGTTGAAGAAATAAATAGAAGAGAAGTCCGCTTTCTGGTATCGAACCCGGAGCCTCCGCGCGAAAGCCAAGCGCGGTAACCATTCGGCCACGCGCTTGCTGGGCAACGCACATGGAAATATCGCTGATAGTGGTAACAAAACATTTCTGGGACAACAAGAAAGAGGTCGCTTTTGCTTCAGCTTCAGCGTTCGGCTCGAGTTCGTGTTCTCCGATGAGGGGGAGGAGGGGCTCTTTTGTTACCACTCCGGCCTGCATGAAGAATGCAGCATGCACCCTGCCCAGCTCAGCACATAAGCCCAAGTGGGTCAAGCTCGCATCGTCTGACGACTGCTTTCGAGGCAGATCCGGCACTTAACGTCACTTCACTAATTGTTGGTATTTTTTCATTACACTATGCCCCGCGCTTTATTAAAAAAATGACACGAACATGCCCACAAGGCCTGTGGGACTGTGCACAGGCCTTGTGTTGGGTAAACACCGAGGTGTGGGGGTGACAAACGGGTAAAAGCGCTTCGCCAATAGTGACATCGCTGAATATCACATCTTGCGGCGCACCTTAGACGCATCGTTTAACTACAATCCATATTCCCTATACGCTATAAAATTCACTATAAACGAACTTGGGACACGGTTATGAGTGAATGGATAACAAAGAGAACCCACATAATAGCCACGGCAGTGGTCGCACCCTCTTCAAAAAGGTCGTTTCCCGGTCTGCTTGCGCCTCAGGGCAAGCAGACCGGGATCTTTACTCCCGTAAAACCACACCTTTGGTTTGAGGATTTTTTTGAGGGGAAACTTTATAGAAACAAAAGGCGCCTTTGGGAAGGCGAGGGGAGAACCTTCATTGTACGAACTTTGGGCTGAAATATGACTCACTGTCGGCAAAAAAGCGATATTTTCACGAGCTCAGTCAAAGTCACCGTAGCTAATCGGAGCTAGAAACAGGAATCGGTTGCTTGAAAAAATTTTCACGTTTGCCCGTGCACGCCCACCCCACTTCATACCGAAAAACTCGGAAAATGGCGGAATGTCAAAAATGTATTTAAGATAAAGAGTACAAGATACTCGGAATTGTAATTAAAATAGAGTATTAAATACTCTCTCTATCAAAGGTATTTGCAAGATGCCAAGATACTCCAAAAAGTATTTAAGATACAGTATCTTGAGTAGAGTATTTGAGATAGGCACAAGTCTGGCTGAGAGCGCGCGCTTAGAGTGAAACATAAGCCATACAAACTTATACTCCGTTTTTATCTGATCTGGTGCATTGTATATGGCCAACGAGGGCATCGGCAACACTCAACGTTTTCGTGAAAAACGGAAGAAGTTTTCTGGGTGGACAACTTGAAACCTTCATTGTCAGCCCATCTTGACACATTATTAATTAGCCCCGAGAAGATGGAGTGGCTCCACTTGGCGACTTCTTGTCGTAACGTAGTAGCAAGGATCACGTGACCGCTTGTGCTCTTCGTTGACAGCATGCGGTTGAGGTTATCGTCCGCAATTTACGGTTAATTAGTAAACTCGAACGAGAGTTTAGGGTTGCCTTTGACCTAATCCTTTGGTTGTACTCAGAGGTCGGCATTTTTGGTTGAACTCACTCACATCTAGCTCTAAGCATAAAGTCGCGCTTTGTTGGGATACAAGGGCGCATCATCACAAGTGTGGTGGAGAAGTATTTTGTTCACGGTGTGGCAGTGTTTGTTCGCGACAGCTTCGTACAAGTATGGAGGGAGCGTCTGCATCGCTGTTTATTCATGTGTGAACTATTCTTATTCCAACACGGACCATCGTGTGTGTGTATCTTTTTTTCCTGCATAGCATATCGCGAACTTCTCGTTTAGGGTGCAAACTCTCGACAGTGTACAGAGTTCCTTTCTATAACGGGTGTGGATGGTCTCCAACAAATTATCACCTCGGCAACCCGTCGTGACGCGATATTAAATCTGTTTTTCACTAATAAACCCGAATGTGTGACGTACTACACTATCAAGGAGCATATGAGTGATCATGCTTTGATTCAAATCGAAACATCATTAGGAGTAACGCGCTCTAAAAATACGCCGAAAGAGATATTCACATTTTCACGAACCAATATTGAAGGACTGACAGTAGCCATAACGAACTTTGAACGGTATTACGTCTTACCAAATTGTGACCGATCCGCAAGTGAAAACTGACTGCTCATTCAAAATACTTTCATAAAACTACTCGAAATATTTGTTCCCAAAACTTCAGTTCGATGTGATGATGCATCTTCCTGGTTTAATAACAATTTAGAACGTATGTTAAATAAAAAGAAAAGATTATTCGGAAATGCGAACAAAACAAATAATTTTGATGTTTGGTCATCATACCACTCCTTCACAAAATTGTGTAAAAGCGAAATAAAGAAAGCGAAATTGTCAAATTATCATCACTGGTGCTAATTCTAGCATTTTTATTTAACAGGTTAGAAAATAAAAAAAATAGTGTAAAATCAATAAAACATTTTAGCTAGTCGGAGAAATCCATGTAAGATGATATTAATTGTGGGTATAGCATATGGTGCTATCAAAGTCGTGACTTTTGACAATCGAAACTTTCGAATTGGCCGCTAACCTTCCGGACCAAGTGCCCCAAAATAAAAATATTACAATAAAAAAAGTCCCGTTTTTTATCACAAATTAATAACCAAATTATTTTATTTTATTTTTATGCGCCGATGTTTTGCCAATCTCAGCCTTCGCAGTTCGAAGGAACCCCTAGCCGCTTGCTGGTCTGCTCACTGAGCGAGTTTTGTGGGCGTTGGATGGCCGGTGAAGAACAATAGCGAGTTTCAGTCTTGCGTTTACCAGCGAACGCAAGCATTGTGAGTTTGCTTTAGCGTTGCGCGTTTTACACTGCGAGTAAGCAAAGCCTAAAATTTCCGGCCTTCGAAACCAATCACGCACAAAAAATTGGCGCAGTACTGCCGCGCGTTCCCTGTCCGCGATTGGTTCAGTCGGTGACAGCAAACAAACAAACGCAGTAGGGTGGAAAGTTGGGCTAGTTGGTAGTTATTCATCTTGGTTTTAAAAGCGCACAAAAGACGAGGACAGAGTAAGAAACACAAACGACGGACGAGCGCTCACTCGCAATTGATAGGTTTTATTGGAACCTCAGAACATGGTATATTGCATTCCTCTATCCTGTGGCAAAGTGTACGTGGGCCAAACTGGTCGCTGTGTTAATGAAAGGCTTAGGGAGCACCGTGCCTCTCTTCGAGCGACTCTGTCGGGCCACCTGGCTGTCCACTGTGACAGGTGCGGCTGCTCTCCAGCGTTCGGTGACACAAATATTTTGGGCACGTATAAAGAACAGAGGGCGAGAGAGATCTTGGAGGCCTTTCAGATAGCTTCTCGGGGAGAGGGATGCATAAGCCAACCCTCCCTTGCACTGACTGAGGCCGAGGTGGCGTTTCTATAGACAACGACACGTGTCAACACGTAAACATCGTGATTTTACAGTTTTTAAGGTGTATAGTTTGACAACAAGGAGCTGCGGTGCGCATGAGCGATTGGGGGGGGGGGGGGGGGGGGATGCTTTTTTTTGTGTCTTCTGAGGTTCCAATAAAATCTATCAGTTGCGAGTGAGCACTCGTCCATCGTTTGTGTTTCTTAATCTGTCCTCGTCTTTTGTGCGCTTTTAAAACCAAGATGAAACAAACGCAGAAACGCGATCAGCGCTGTGACGTCACACTTTTTGCGATGTTTGATTGGCTCTACCAAATTATGACGTCGGCTGCGGTCGAACCTAAAGTAAAACGGAGTTTAGTGGCTTACTTTTTCAAAGCTGCATACTCTAAATATTTCACCTAGTTTGCCTTTCCCAAAGCAAAGCAAAGGCATAAAATAAAGGGCACGCGCACGCGTGGATGAATTTATTGATTAGTGTGTTAGATCAACCAGAAAAATGAAGAGGCTAAATCAACGGGAAGTACAACACTAGACGATGCCGACGACCGTTGGATGCGTGCAGACATTGTCCATCGCTTCGCAAATCTGACTGACGGAAATTTTTTGTTCGCACATGTGGACGAGCAAGTGCAAGTGGGTGACAGCGTGAGGGTTAGTTGAGAGTTCAAAGCACGTGGCGTCGAAGTATCGCACGGCTTGCTCGTAGCAGATGTGGTCCCTCAGAGGAATCTTCGCCTCGAGCAACTGCTCAGTCTTCTCAGCATCACCGAGCGTCACAAACGACACCAGCTCCACCATTTTTTCCTTCAGGAAAGCACGGCTTCGAAGAATTTCTTCGAGCTCGTGCTTCAGTGAAAGCTTGATCTGAGGGTCCGTCGCCTTCTGAAGTTTCTTGCGAACAATGGCAATGGGCACATCCCTGCTGTCGACGGCATCCAAGGGTGCAAAGGGCAAATTTATGGAAAGAGCAGACTTGGCGCCTTGGAAATCACTGACCTTCAGGTTGGCTATCTTCAAGTCACCAAATTCTATGACGTGACTCGTGTTGGTCTGAGATCTGACGAACTTGAACTGTTCCTGGAGGGTTACCATGTCCAGACCCTCGCGATCAGAGTGTTTCATCCAATTGACGCTGTACAAATTTCCCAAAAATGTTTTTCTGGAATCGTCCCAATAACAGGCGTAGGATTTTTCGTCACTGTTGGCCGCCGTCGTCGCATACACGTTGATGTCGTCTGGCAAGAGGTTTTCGAACATTGACCCGGAGTAACAAGCTTCGGGGTAGAAGACCAGTTTTCCAAACGCTTTCTGCTCGTGCATCAGTTTTATGACACGGATCAAGTTTGTCGCTTGAAGGTAGTCGTTCGGGAAAACAATTAGGCCAGGACTACCATGATCAGAAAAGTAGACGAACACGTGGTCGTTTGGACCACTTGCGATTACCTTCCCGCTGCCTCCTTCGATTTTCTTACCCTGCAGGATGCTCAAGAAGTTCTCCGGAGTGACGAGGTCTCCCGCGTAGTCCTTGGGCACTCCTTCGTAAACGTTGGAGCCATTGGGATGGTTGAGGATGATTCCGGGCGTTGGATTGGATGGGTCTTGAGCGATGTCGTCGTACATCATAACCACTATGTGTTCATCTGAAATGCCGTGGTTGTGCAGAACATGGTACGCGTGACAGATGTCTGCCTGGTGGCGATAGTCACTATATCCCTTAGATCCCGCCACCAGAAGGGCCCAGTGCTTTGCGTCAGCACTTGCTTGGGCATTGGAAGTAGGTGCGAAGGATGCGATTGCAACAAGGAAAAGAATAGCTACAGCCAGGGGCGAAATAATTGACCGTAGTGAAAGCATGGTGACTGCAGTCAAAGTACCCCATTTGCCACTTCTGACGGCGTTTTTAAAGAGTACGTTACCTAAGTATACTGATTTTAATTTCTTCGAATGGTGACACCGGTCACGGGACAGATTCAAGATTACCCGGAATCCTGATACCGATTGTGCGTTGTAAGATTATATTGTTTTAGTGCTGTTCTACTCGTCGCACAGAACACCTTTGAGTCAAGCTTCCAGATAGCGTCCGGTGCGCTGATAACCCTACTAGTGGCTCACTATCTGGAGGCAGCTTTTTCACTTTAGACATTTTTGCAGGCTTAGAGTGTTCCTAAATATCAAAAAAGCTATAGAAGAATTACTCGTTTATGACGAAACAATTATACGAAAAAAATGTTACGTCTACAGTTCCGATGTATCTGCTTTTTTTTCTTTTCGAGAACTGATCGAGACAGAAAAGACACGAGGACACCATGGAACATGTTTGAAGGGATGTGACGGTGCTAGGGCAACAACATGCTCATCATTGATGATTTTAATGAACATATCAACACATTTCATGGTTTCATGCATCTTACTCAGGACATGGTAGCAAAGGTTGTGTGTCCCTTCTAGAAGATCGAGTAAAGGAGTGGCGCAACAGGCTACATGGAATACGAAGTACCTGCTTCGGTGTTTATGTATACTGTGTTTATACAGTGTTTATACAGTGGAGATATTTACATATAAATATCTCCACTGTATTGGAAAAATACTTTCTGCAAACTGCTTGATATGTGAAGAAGTGGAGTCACTGGACCACCTTTTATGCAACTGCTCAATTTATGATGGGGAAAGAGAGGTGCCAATTGAAGAACTCTCCCAACTGGACTCCCGACCGTTCTCTCTCCAAAAGGTCTTTTATTTATTTATTTATTTATTTATTTATTTACCCTCAAGGCCCGAGGCATTATAGAGGAGAGTGGATTACATTTCATAAGATAGTACAACATTGTGAAGTTATTAATAAAAACAAATAAAAGGCTCCTAATCATACGATGATAGCTAAGGCGTTCTTGAAAAGATTGTGGTCTTGGATGGCTGCCGTAGGTGCGGGAAGGCGATTCCACTCATCTGATGTGTGTGGGAAAAGGACTGAAAAAAAGCGTTAGTTTTGCAGAGTGGAATTCAACCTGGATGAGATATACGGGGGAGGCAAAATAAAATCGTCGCGCAGATATGGGTGATGAAAGAGCTTGTGAAATAGACATAGTCGAAATAATTTACGGCGAGATGCTAGAGTTGGTAGGTTGAGGCTAGATTTCATTGAGCTTATGCTGGCAGTTCTGTTATAGTTCGATAGGATAAAACGAACTGAATTATTTTGAACCATTTCAAGTGAACCTATTAAGTTTTTTTGGTAAGGATCCCACACAGATGAAGCATATTCAAGTTTTGAACGGATTAATGTTTTATATCACAAAAGTTTTAAAGACAAAGGAGCTTTTGAAAAGTTACGTCGGATGTACCCAAGCGTTGTTAGTAACATACGAGATGTGAGCGTTCCAGGTGAGATCGGCTGTAATGTGAATACCAAGGTATTTGTAAGAAGTGACGGCATCAAGGGGACGGTGATTTAGACAGCAGGTGGAAAAAACTATTAGCTTTTCTAGATACGCGCTTATATTTGCATTTATTAACGTTTAGGTCCATATAGCATGCTTTGCACCATTCCGAGATGGCATTAAGGTCCGACTGAAGATTAGTTATATCGTCGTCACGAGTTATTTCACGAAAAACCACGCAGTCATCGGCAAACAAGAGATTGTTAGAAGAAACGCAAGAAGGTAGATCGTTTATGTAGATAAGGAAAAGGAGAGTACCAAGAACAGAACCCTGTGGCACACCCGAGTAAACACCGGTTGGCTGCGAGTTAGAGTTGTTAGCTGAACCAAACTGTGAACGGTTAAGAAGAAAACATTCAATCCATGTGAGAAGCTTGTGATCAAGGTTAAGTTGGTGTAGTTTATGTAGTAAAAGTTTATGGCATACCTTTTCAACTGCTTTAGAGAAGTCTAAAAAAATGCAATCGTCAAATGAGGAATGATCAAGAATGAGGTTTAGTTTATGCGTAAATGATACCGATTGAGTTCCACAGGAGCAAGTTTTGCGGAAGCCATGCTGTGAAGGTGTGGAAAAGCAGTTTGATTCAAAGCATGTAACGAATATGAAAACAGAATGTGCTCAAGAAGTTTGCAAGGAATGCTGGTTAGTGAGATGGGTCGGTAATTGAGGGGAAAAGACTTGCTACCTGATTTATGGAGTGCAATCACCTTGCCGACCTTCCATTCCCCAGGAAGATAACCGTAGTCGAGCGACTGCTGAAAAATCTCAGAAAGTATAATAGAAGAATATACACTTGTACTTTTCAAAAACTTGGAATCGCATCCACTAGACGAAGAAGGTTTAAGTGATCTAATGAGGCTCTCTACACCAGTAGGTTCGATGAGCATGGGAGACATGGCGAGAAAGTCAAAGCCATGAGTATCGGGTATGGGGACACCTGACGTAACAGAAAAGTTGCATGAAAACACTTCAGTCAGCACCAATGCACACTGGCTAGGTGGAATTACGTTTCCAGTGCTGTCAGATAAAGTGATCGTATCCTCATCTTTTGGTTGTTTAACACGCCAAAATTTTCTAATGTCGTTTATTAACATTGATGGCAAAGTGCTTTGATGAAATTCTTCCCTAGCATTTTTTAGCGCAGGAGCGTGGAGCGTGGGAGAGTCCAGAAAAGCTGGCTGATGCGACCAAATACCTACTACGTTTTTTACGTGATACCCAACTTTTTTGTCGTCTTCAAGAAGCAGATATGGAGCTCCATGTTATTTTGATGTGTTTGTATTAATTTCATCCCCTTACCCTTCTTTGGTATCCCCTATTCCCCTTCCCCAGCGGAGTGAAACCGGTTAATGCAAACCGCATGAAGCGATCTCTCTGTCTCTCTAAATAAACATCGTCTGCTCCGGTAAACTTCAATAGTCAATTATTTGTTTAAAAATTGGTTGAACATATTTAGAGACGCATCTGAACTATTATCCAAAGTTAAAAGTCACCAGAACCTTCTTTTTTGACGAAGGTATCAAATTTGTGAATTCGGTCTGAGAGGCTCTATCGGCATTAGTGAGAACGTGATGTCAGATGTTGTAATATAGGGACAGAACAGATTGATCCCCACAGGTAAGAAGAAGTTCGATGGTGTAAAGTGAGTCTTGCTAAAACTTATATATTAAAACAAAAGTGCAAAATGGTGTGTTGTTTAGACTGCCTTCTCCACTTGCAAGTCATACAAACATGTAACGTTATCGCACTTGAGTGCGGGCAAAAATATGTTGGTCTTCAGAGTTTAATTATTTATTTTGGTTTGTGTACACCAGTGGTAACTCTGTCTTGCCATCGTTCTCCTTTGACAATCGTGGGATCAGTGACTTAAAGGGCAACTCCGCTTCATTTTTGGTTTTGAAAAAACAATGCAGTCCTCTTCAGTATCACCTAGGAAGACCACACGTGAAATCTTACGACGCAGTTCTGTCTAAATGTTTCTTGAACGGTCCGGCAAACTTTGCAACTCGCCAAGTTGCCGAAATCGGCTGCCTTGAGCGGGCGAATTCAGGCGCAACCAACAGCGCGGTCAAGGCTACGGCATGGGCGGAGCCAACATTGAGCTAAACGCCATCTACATGGCCCCCTTTTGCTTGTTTTCACTTCTCCGGGCAAGCGTAGCGCATGACGTCAGCAACGTTGCCTCTCGGCGCTCAGCAGTGTCCACGTGATTGGCGTAACGCGCCTGCGCAGCGCGCTTCTTGGGAGCCGTCCGGCCGCCCGCCGTGGTTCCGCCGTTACCGCCGTCGTCGTCTCACCGATTGTGATTATTGTCTTTCGGAGTTTCGTCCACACTACGACACCACGTGCGCGCACACTTATGCCGCAGTTGTGCAGACGTCGTCGAATGCCGTAGACACCAAAACGTGGCGAAGAGTGCGGTGCAGACGACACTCGCGCCTGCCACACGGCCTCCCCGATCCCGCCCGTCATTGGGCCGAGGATCACGTGACATCTCGTACCACGTGATGGCCATGTACTTGGCGACCCGAGGCCAATGTTGCCGGGCGGAGCCGAAGTTTCGGTTTCGATTTCCGCTCGTGTTTAAAATCAGATTTAAAAATATATATCCCATTTTTCGCGAAGCAAACGACGTAGTGTGTTTTACTAGGGCTTTTTAATTCGAAATCAATCATTATCCCGAAATCTTCGGAATTCAGCGGAGTTGCCCTTTAACAGTCTCTACAGAAGGGGTCCTTGGCAGCCTACTACGGATGGACTGTCGTGTGGCCGGAATGAAATTTCTAACGCTTTCCTAAAAAGAGGTATTTAGGTAAAGGTTCTAAAAAAATGAAAGCCGCCGTTTACAACTCCCTGCAACGCCGAATTATACGCGCAGCTCTTGAGGAGGAGGAGGGGAAAGTACGGAGAGGAGGCTATCGTGTCGCCTTTTTGCTATTTTTACGCCTGCGAGCCCTGTTTATCGCTGAAGCTCCGCTGGATAAATGTTCCGGGCACCCGGGCACCCGTGGGATCTGGACTGTCGACTCCCCAGCGGGAGGATCTCCACCAATACCGCCGCCAACCTAGTGCACTGCTCGGTTGCCATTAGGCCTAAAAGCCTGCCACTGCCGTCCGCCCGCCCGCACGTCGCCTGGCTGCTACTCATTGCCGGAGACGTCTCGCTCAACCCTGGCCCGCGGAACCCTGGACCACGCCCCATCTGCCCCCGATGCTGTAAGCCTGTTTACGACAATGCGGCCGCATTACAATGCGACCGATGTGACGCTTGGCTGCATAGGAAGTGCGAACGCCTCGCATTGTTCACGTATCGGCGCTTGTCAAACTGTGTTGAACCCTGGTACTGCGGCATGTGCCAGCTGCCTTCATTTGACGACAGCCTCTTCGAGGCATCGTCGACCACCTCCCGTGACATC